GGGACTTTAAATAAGGGAGATTAAATAATCCTGCCAGTTCCAATGACATTTAGAGCTGATTCTGTGGCTTAGTCCTGATAACTGGGGTTCTATCTTACCTAAGACCTGAACCTATATCACAATTTATGTAAAGATCACTATTTTTTCCCCCTAAACTTAACCCTCTGACTTGATAATTAGTCTGGTGCCCCAGGCCTTCTAGGTCGGTCACTCTTAATTCTCTTTTGATCATGCTCTCCTTTGAGGTTCTCACAAAAGATATCTGTTTTCCTTGAAAGTGCATATATTCTCAGACCCACACACACAAAACAATTTCAGATACAGTTACAGGGTTTTTACGAACCCCAAGGCCCACCTAGGAATGGGATCCTGGCACGTTTCAGGCTTTAACATCACATGCAGTATGCCTAAGCAGAAATCAGCCAGCTGAGGCAGCGCCCCAAAACACGCGCCATGGATCCCGCCTTGCCGTATGGGGCACTGGAATCTTGTCAGCAAGAGCCAGGCAGAGTCCACCCAGTACAAATATTTGTCTAAAGCGATACCCAGAGAGTTTCCTTGATTTAGAACTTTATGAGAAGAGTAAAATCATTTGCTGAGCAGGAGTGAGCCTTCGAGAAAAAGAACAATAAAGATTTTTATTATATTGATAAGAAGTTGATTGCACACTGTGAATTCCAGAGCTGCAAGGTTCTGACAGGGACTTTTGGTTCTTCTGCACTACGCAATGTTTAAACTCCTGTGTTTACAGTGGCTCAAAGAAATGTGGCCTGTGTTCTTCAGATTATTTTAAGCTCAACTGGCAAACGTTTATTAAACACCACCTGTGTATCAAACCCCAAGACAGGTTTTGTAGATAAAACTATGAGTGAGGAGCTCAAAATATAGTACAGGAGAAAGATGTGCAACTAAATAGTAATAAAAGGTACCGCTACTTTCTACACGTAGACACCAGGTCAAGGGTTTCACATGTGATTTCACCAAATCTTCAAAACCATGCTAGATGCAGGCTTATTATCCTCACTTCACAAATGAGGAAACAGAAAGCACAGAGAAATTGAGTAAATTGGCCTTGTACCATGGTGGAGCTGAAAGCCTGGGGGAGACTCAAGTTTTGGGGGCCCTCTTTGAAAAAAATATACTTCAAACCCATTAAACGACTATTAGAAAAAATAAAGCAAAACAAAAACAGAATATAACAAGTGTTGGGAAGGATGTGGAGAAATTGGAACCCTTGCTCGTTGCTTGTGGGAATGTAAGATGGTGTGGCCTATGTGGAACATGGTACGGTGGTTCCTCAAAAAATTAAACGTAGAACTACCATATGGTCCAGCAATTCCACATCTGAGAATATACCTAAAAGAATTGAAAGCAAGGACGTGAATAGATGTTTGTATACCTGTGTTTGTAGAAGCATTCTTCACAATAGCCAAAGGGAAGAAACGACCCAAGTGTCCATTGACAGATAAATGGATGACCCTTGAAGACTATGTTAAGTGAAATAAGCCAGACATGAAAGGACACAAGGATAAAACAAATATGATTCCATTTATATGAGGCACCCAGAATAGTCAAATTCATACAGACAGAAAGCACAATAGCGGTTACCAGGGCCTGAGGGAGGGGGCGTTGGGGAGTTAGTGTTTAATGGGTACGGAGTTTCAGTTTGGGAAGGTGAGAAATGTCTGGGGATGGACACAGTGGTGGTGGTTACACAACAATGTGAATGTACTTAACGCCTCAGAACTGTTCACCCAAAATGGTTAAAATGGTAAATTTAATTTTACCATGAAAAAGAATACAAAATTAATGATAAAAATTAGTCGTGAAGGTAAATATCTATTTAGGAGAAACAAAGAAATCATAACAAATTAAACCTTTAAAAAGGTTGACAATTATCAAAAACATCACAAAATCTGGAAAAAGATACAATATTTTATTTTAATGAACTGCCTGATACAATTCTATAACTTTTCCCTAAATTTTAGTTTCATAATCTTTGATTTCCTTTTTCTGTGACGCAAAGTTTATATCATATTCTATGGAGAGAAGACAAAGATAATTCAGTCTTATGGTGTGGTTGATTAAAATTTGTGTTTTTGTTATATTGGGATGCATAAAACCTCACACACATTTAAAGTACTGCTTCAGGTTTTTGCCTTAAAAGCACAGGATTCTGATAAATTTAATTTTGTAATATTTCCATCAGAAACATTAAAATTACGATATGGTTTTCGTTGCATATAAGGCATTATTAAATATATTCCTGAGAGGAGAGAATTTGCATCTTGACTAGGATGAGAACCAAATTCTCTGCCTATAATTTTATATATTTGATGATTAAAATTTTTTCAACAAATTTTCCCTGTCTCTGCACATTTGACCGTTTCTCTCCAACAGCCTACAAATTCCTGAAGCTCAGTGTCATTAGGACTCTTTCGCATTTTGGTAAGATTTTGCTCCCAGGGTATTTGCTTTGGCGTAGCGAGGGCTACCCAGAATGTCTGGCAATAAATTATCAATATACAGAAATAAGTGTGAACCACATAAATATATCCCATTAAACCCAAACTAAAATTCAGCTTCCTCTTATCTGGGTCTCAGAACGCCTGCAGCCTCTCTAACACCATCTGACACAGGAACCGTGATGGCGGGAAGTCTGAGTAAAATGACAATGGGCTTGATGAATTGTGGTTAAATACTTTTTGCAGACTTTATATAAACATATGACTACCTGGACGCATTTCTAAGGCCCTCTGGGACCTTGGAAGTGGGTGGGACAAGTAGAGGGTCCTGAAGCTTGAGCATCATCATTTTCACATTAATGCCACCTCTGCCTAAGTCTGTCTGACTGACATTTTTGCTTCTCAACACTATATTGTTGCAACTCAGACAATTATAAAGCACTGACGTAAAGACAACGAGAGAAACCCAAGTAGATTTTAAAGACACTCCAACGAAGGACAACTCAAATAACCTGGGCGAAGGAAGGCTTCAGAGTGAAGAATTCCCCCGGCTCATGCTGGCCTGTACTAGGAAAGCATCGTCTTGTTTCAAGCCTTTTACTTCCACTTTCAGAAAATTAACAGTGCCAGCTCTTCCCCACTGAGCATATCTAATTCCACATCCTGCCCAATGATGCCGTAAAAGAAGATGTCTTCTTTTTTTTTTTTTTTGAAAACGAATAACGAGTAGAACACGTTTACAACAAATGGAAAGATTAAAACAAATGTTGGCACAACAGAACCAAAGAATAAAACAGGTAAAAACATTCCAGAAGAAGAGCTGCATGCTCTAAATGAATTTATGTCTCTTCAAGAGGACTAAGACCCGCGATATTGAGGGAACGTTCAGATAAGATGGATGACCTGCAGCCAGGAACGCTGAGGTCCAGTGGAGACATGCAGGATGATTGTATCCTGGCACATGCTAGCCCAAATTTCAAAAATAGAACGGTGGATGTAGGTCAGCTATAGATCGTGAGCTTGATGCAAATCTGGGTATGTTCTAAAATAAGTATCAAATAGTTGGGGTTATTAACCATGTAGGGAATCGTCAATAAAGTGACCATAGGATTGTCAATAATGAACCAGATATGTCAACTATAAAGAGCATGCTGACCGCAATTATGCAATGAAGAGACGAGCTAAATTTAGTCAAGCGATGAAGAATGTTAGCCTGTAGTGGGAATATCAACTACCAAATCAGACAATTAAAAGTTGTAAAAGAGATCCACTTTGAAATTGGGCGAAGATACACACAATGTACCAGGTTGCATGAAATGGTGTGAGCTGAAAAAGTTCTGTTGCCTCAAGGAGACACCCCACATGTTGACCTTTGGCTCACGTGGAGTCACCCCCTCCATGTGTAGGACCGAACTAGGTCCCTGCTCCTCTCTCAAATTCTTGAATTGACTCTTCAGCTTTGATCCTGATCCTCTGATACAGTATCCTCAGCCCAGGGAGATCTTAAGTCTCTTCTCTTTATTTTAGTAAGTGACTTTGCAATACTAGGAGAAGAGAGAAGTAACTATAGGACTGTTGAAGTTAATCAAACCCACAGTATTAACACATTTGTATTGAATTTAGGAGTTAACTACTTAATCATTAGAATAATCTATAAAATATTATTTTTAAGATGCTTGAAACACAATAGAACCTGACATTTTATAAAATTAGATATATGAACCATTTAATTTTAAAGGTATGAGAGAATTTTCTTAAGTTTGCACTCAGCTTCTGAATGTTTAAGAGAATGTAATTTATTAATGCATACATTTGATTGATTACTTTTACCTGCGTTGCTTTAATTATTAGAAAAGCTCCTGTGGTCTTTTTTTAAAGGAACTTTTTTTTTTTAAAGATTGGCACCTGAGCTAACATCTGTTGCCAATCTTTTTTTTTTCCTTCTCCCCAAAGACCCCCAGTACATAGTTGCATATTCTAGTTGTAGGTCCTTCTGGTTGTGCCGTGTGGGACAATGCCTCAGCATGGCCTGATGAGCAGGCTATGTCTGCGCCCAGGATCCAAACGGGGGGAACCTGGGCTGCAGAAGCGGAGCGTGTGAACTTAACCACTCGGCTACGGGGCCAGCCCCAACAGCCCCCTTCTTTTTAACTTGACAAGTGTGTAAAAGATTAACAGGTCAGGCATTTGAAACGTCTGAGAGATTCAGATAGACTAAATTTATAACTGATATAGTTTAAAATATTTAAAGGAACTTAACTAATCAAGACTATCGATTCCACTAATTGTTTAGGGGAATTAACATTGAATTGAATATTCGTAAAGTAATAAGTGTAAATAATAATTTCTATTTTTTACCTAAATTTTCAGATTTACAAAGATTTGTTTGTTAAATATAAAAAGCTTTGGGAAAACTAGTTTTTAAGCTTTGCAGCTTTAATACATTGAATAGTAATTAAGACCTAGGTAGAACTAGGTTTTATAAGATTCAAAGATCCCTTTCGTGGTGGAAAGGCAGAACTTTTTGCTACTTACCACTCCAAATGCGAGAAGGCTGCCACGCGGGGCCCGCAGGGGTTACACCTGAGCACAGGTAACAAGGAGCCGGAGCTGTGGGGGCAACCGAGGGACGGCAGGCAGGCTGGGCCTGGCTAGGTTTCCCCAGCTCCCCGTGGATTGGCTAATTTTAATAATTTTGGCGGGCCCTGGGGCATGGGGTTGCCCCTACTTGTCTGGTGCCTGGCCTGGTGGAGATTAGGATGGGTAAATAGCGGCCCCAGAGTGTGTGAGCCTGATTAAGAAAGTGGTTGAGGTGTGAACTTAATCAGCTCCTCAAGAAGGGGAACTGGCCAGCCTCTAGCCAGGGCCTCAAAACTAAGTCAAGACAGCATGGTAAATTTAAACAAATTTAAATTATATATATATATATAGTTTTTTTAGTCAAGACATTATATATATATATTTATAAAAATATAAATAGGGGCTGGCCCCGTGGCCGAGTGGTTAAGTTTGCGTGCTCCGCTGCGGCAGCCCAGGGTTTCACTGGTTCAGATCTTGGCGCGGACATGGCACCGCCCATCAGGCCACATTGAGGCAGAGTCCCACATACTACAACCAGAAGGACCTGCAACTAAGATATACAACTATGTACGAGGGGGGATTTGGGGAGATAAAGCAGAAAAAAAAAAGATTGGCCACAGTTGTTAGCTCAGGTGCCAATCTTAAAAATAAATAAATAAATAAATATAAATAAAGTGTATATATATAGTTTTATAGTCAAGACATTAAGGGGTCCACTGACATGTATACATATCTGTATCTGTATATGCATATCAGTGGACCCCTTAATGTCTCAACATCACTTTTGGGATATTTGAGTGGCTTGAATAGCAGAGGAGACCTCTAGAAAGTAGGCCATAAGTTGCCTTAAACAGCATGGAAAATATTTTGTTATGACCATAAAAAGGAAGAAACTAAGCAAAAGCATGAAAAAGCATAAAGAGTCCTGAAGGCTGGCTTGGAGCCAGGTTCCCCATTTGTTTGGTGTTAACCAAGAGAATAAATCAGTCATGACAGAGCCTCCAGTTATATTTTGGTTGAATTATAGAGTCTGCTAAAGGCGCAAGTTATGTTTTTGATGATGATGATTTGATGGTGCAGACTTTCGGTTAGAATGGCCACTTGGTTGGTGGTGTTAACCCGCTTACAACAGGAAGCACTGATAACATCACAAACACCTGTGGATAGTCAGTGCATGAGAGGCCGCTTCAGTCAGCAGGTGCATGTTGGATGTCTGTGCAGATACTCAAGGGGTTGGCGCAATGGATTTGCGTTTTACTTGCCTTGTAGTCTTTTGGAGTGCCTGAAGGGTAGGCACTCTTAGGACAGGAGAGACCGAGGGGGACGTGAGGATGCTGAAAAATGAGGAGGGGAAGAGGAGGAAAGGGGATGGATGGTGTGAGTATTGGAAGGCCAGCAGAATTCTCCTGTTATAGCTCAGAGAGTGCACAGTGTGGCTACTTCGGTAAAGTTACCCTTTAGGCAGGAGAGGTGGATAGTTTTAGCTGCAGCCCGAGTCTTGGAAGCATTGTGGAGACCTTAGACTTGGTCCCGTAGGGGCTTAACGTGGTATCAGATTGAATTACTATCACGGGGGAAGAACTTAGAGTTTTACGGGTATCACAAAGCAGAGTTGGGGCATGTGGCAAGCAAACTGCAATATCTGGAAAGTCACTCCAGTCTGATGGGTCCCACCTTTTAAAACAGGACTCAACAGTATAATTAGTCACAAGAGTCTGGGTCTTCTGTGGGTGGCAAGGCTTTCCCAGCTCTGGTGTGGTTGGGACTCCTGGCAGTTGGTTGGGAGGCAGAGGTGAAGTTGTCTCCAGTGGCAAGAGCTTGGACTGGGATGATGTGATAGTGGGGTCTCCTTCCCAGATGGACACCCGCTCAGGTTGATGTGGGTCATATCTTTGTGGCTCTGTAGCCTTGCAATGAGGCTGAGCACCTTGTAGAACTTGAAGTAGGGTTGGGTCCTGGAAGCTTGATTTGCAAATATCTTTTTTTAATGGTTATTCATGGTTAATTTCTTTTCTTTAATTTTTTATTGCGGTAGTGTTGGTTCATATCATTATATAAATTTCAGGTGTACATTGTTATATGTCAGTTTCTGTGTAGACTACATCATGTTCACCGTTCAGAGTCTAATTGCCACCCATCACTGTACACATGTGCCATTTTACCACTCTCCCCTCTGTAACCACCAATCCATCCTCTGTGTCTATATGTTTGTTAATTGTTGTTGTTATTGTTTTTATCTTCCACATAAGAGTGAAATCATATGGTATTTGGTTTTCTCTAACTTATTTTTCTTAGCTTAATGCCCTCAAGGTCTATCCATGTTGTTGCAAATGGCAGGATTTCCTTCTTTTTTCTGGCTGAATAACATTCCATTGTATATATGTACTGCATCTTCTTTATCCATTCACGACTTAGGTTGTTTCATGTTTTGGCTATTGTAAATATTGCTGCAATGAACAAGGGGGTGAAGATATCTCTTTGAGATAGTGATTTAATTTCTTTTGGATGTATACCCATAAGTGGGATTGCTGGATCATATGATATTTCTATTTTTATTTTTTAAGAACTACTATACTGTTTTCTATAATGGCTGCACCAATTTACATTCCCACCAACAGTGCACAAGGGTTCCCTTTTCTCCACATCCTCTCCAGGATTTGTTATCACTTGTCTTTTTGATAGTAGACATCCTAAAGGGTGTGCAGTGATATCTTATTGTAGTTTTGATTTGCATTTCCCTAATGTTAGTGAAGTTGAGCATCTTTTCATGCACCTGTTGGCCATTTGCATGTCTTCTTTGGAAAAATGTCTAAATGGTCTGTCCATTTTATAATCAGATTATTTAGGGTTTTTTTTTGCATTGAGATGTATGAATTCCTTATTTATTTTGGATATTAACTCATAATAAGACATACGGCCTGCAAATATCTTCTCCCATTTGAAGGCTGCCTTTTCATTTTGTCTATTGTTTCTTTTGCTGTGCAGAAGTTTTTAGCTTGATGTTGTCCTACTTGTTTATTTTTTCTTTCATTGCTTGCACTTTGGTGTTATATCCAAAAGATCATTTCCAAGACCAATGGCAAGGAGTTTTTCCCTGTGTGTTCTTCTAGGAGTTTCATGGTTTCAGGTCTTTCATTTAAGTAATCCATTACAAGTTAATTTTTGTGAGTGTATGATAGGGGTCCATATTAACTCTTTTGTATGTGAGTATCTTGTTTTCCCTGCACTATTTGTTGAAGAGACTGTCCTTTCCTCATTGAGTATTCCCAGCTACCTCACCAAATACTAGTTGACTGTATTTGTGTGAATTATTTCTGGGCTCTTGGTTCTGTTCCATTGATCCATGTGTCTGTTTTTGATGCCAGTACCATATTGCTTTGATTACTGTAGTTTTCTAATAAGGTTTGCAATCAGAAAGTGTGATGCTTACAGCTTGTTCTTCTTTCTCAGGATTCTTAGGCTATTCAGTGTACTTTGTGATTCGGTATGAATTTTAGGGTTTTTTCTCCTATTACTATAAAATTGCCATTGGAATTTTGATAGGGATTCCATCAAATCTGTAGATGGTTTTGGGTATAATGGATGTTTTAACAATATGAATTCTTCCAACCAAGGGACACAGTATATCTTTCCATTTATTTGTGTGTTCTGCAATTTCTTTCATTAACGTCTTGTAATTTTCAGTGTACAGATATTTCATCTCTTTGTTTAATTCCTATTTTATTATTTTTGATGCTGTCATAAAGGGGATTGTTTTCTTTATTTCTTTTTCAGACGGTTTAGTTGTTAACGTATAAAAGGGCAACTGATTTTTGTATGTGTTGCTTTATATCCTGAAACTTTACTGAATTTGTTTATTAGTTTTAATAGATTTTTGGTGGAGTTGGGAATTTTCTATACGTATGAGATTATATCATCTGCAAAGAGAGACAATTTTACTTCTTCCTTTCTGATTTGTATGCCTTTTATTTCTTTTTCTTGCCTAATTGCTCTGGCGAGGACTTCCAGTACTATGTTGAATAGGAGTGGTGGGAAGGAACAAGCTTCTATTTTTCCTGATCTTAGTAGGAAAGCTTTTAACCTTTCACCACTAGTGTGTTGTTAGCTGTGGGTTTGTCATATATGGCCTTTCTTATATTTAGGTATGTTCCTTCTGTACTCATTTTTTTTGAGAGTTTTTATGATGAAAGGATGTTGAATCTCATCAAATGATTTTTCTGCATCTATTGAGAGTATCATAAGATTTTTACCTTTTCTTCTATTAATGTGGTGTATCACACATTGGTTTGCATACGTTGAATCACCTTTGCATCCAAAAGATAAATCCCACTTGATCATGGTGTATAATATTTTTAGTGTGCTATTGAATTAGTTTTGCTAGTATTTTGTTGAGAATTTCTGTATCTATATTCATCAAGGTTATTAGTCTGTAACTTCTTGTAGTATCTTTATCATGCTTTGGCATCAGGGTAATGCTGGCCTTGTGAAATGAGTTTGAGAGTCTTCCTTCCTCTTCAATTTGTTGGAAGGTTTTGAGAATGATTGTGTTAATTCTTCCTCAAAAGTTTGGTAGAATTTACCAGCGAAACCATCTGGTTCTGGATTTTTCTTTGATGGGAGATTTTTGATTACTGATTAAATCTTCTTACTAGTAATTGATCTGTTCAGATTTTCTGTTTCTTCATGATTCATTCTTAATATGTGTGTGTTTCTAGGGATTTATCCATTTCTTCTAGGTTGTCCAATTTTTTGGCATATAATTGTTCATATGATCCTTTGGATTTCTGTGGTATCATTTATAATGTCTTCGCATTCATTTCTGATTCTAGTTATTTAAATCCTCTCTCTTTTTTTCTTGGTTTGTCCCACTAAAAGTTTGTCTGTTTTATCTTTTCAAAAAACCAGATCTTAGTTTCATCGATCTTTTCTACTGTCATTTTAGTCTCCATTTCGTTTCCCTGACCTGAGGAATTTAATTCATTTGACCTTCTGTACTTGAGGAAAGTATATAACTAGAAGAATAAGCATGACCTTCTGTACTTGAGGAAAGTATATAACTAGAAGAATAAGCATAGTCCCTGTCCTGTGGAACTCACAGTCTAGT